GGTTTATATCAGCGCCATTTGGTTTGTCTTGGTGATGTTAATAATGATTATATTTAATGCTCGAATTCTAGTGTGTGTGTGGACGAGACAGCAATGGGTAAATATAGATAAACATTCGAGTGTACGAGAATTTTTACAAGTCCGTCAACAAAGAACGCATTACGCTTTCACTGCTACACGAATCTGGTCCAGGTAAGTTGACAGAGGGAGAAATGAGAGAGGCTTATAGGGTGATGGTGGAGGGGGAGGGGTGGTGTAGGGTGGGACAAGGGGGATAGGGTGGAATGGGGTGGAATGTATAGGTGGGGACGGAACGAGGGGTAATGGGGCGGGCTGGGGGAAGAGTATCGCGTGCCCCTGGGTTTCGTTCATTATCTCTCCCGTCTGCCTCAGTTTCTCCTATGTGAGAGAAATGATAACTGGTATACCTTGGATGGGGCCCTTGAGAGATATTTGGGATCGCTGGTAATGAACAGAACGCCACATTAAAACTCAAAGACCTCTAATAAATTAATAACTGTCCCCCCACCCCCTCAAAAAAAATATCGACAAATGGTCAAATCACCACCACTTCTTGTATGTTTGTTTCATGTGTATGGACAACGTTATTACATCTCATGGGCCACACTCAGAAGCCTTACTGACTATACAAGCTGCCCACCACTACCTTAAAGACCTTGGCAGGGACGGTGGATAAGAAACACAAGTGACAATACCCCCACAAACTTTCTCCTTGCGTCATCCCTCACCACCACCCCCACCACGCTAACACCTTCCTACTTTCACAATCCAGGATGGTGTTTCCGTAGCGCTTAAACAGAAGGAGTTAGGTTATGTCTTAAGGTGGGTGTAAGTGGCTTTGCAACTGCCCTACTTTCACTTGTTTGGTGCATGATGGTGACGGTCAAGAGAGGCATCATGGGTTTTGAATCTCGGTGGTGTTTATTTCAGGTTTTATTTACACAATTATACAGACAAAAATAAATTCGAATGTAGGTTTTGTTTGGACATGAGCGATGAATATCTGATGGCGGTATAAACAAAGACGTGTTTTATGGGGGTATAGAGGTGAGAGATGGGGGTATGGGAGGTATGGGGGGTGAGAGAGAGGGGTACGGAGGTATGGGTGTGGAGGAGAGAGGTGTGGGGGTAGGTGAGGTATGGGGTGGAGGAGGAGTAGTGAGGTATGGGGGTGAGAGAGGGGGAGGGTGAGGGGAGGAGGCGGAGGTATGGGTGGAGGGTGATGGGTGTGAGGGAGGGAGGTGGGGGGTGAGGGAGGGAGGGAGGGAAGGGTGAGGGAGAGAGAGGGGGGTGAGGGAGGAGAGGTGGGGGGGTGGAGGGAGGAGAGGATGGGGGGTGAGAGAGAGGGGTGTGGAGGGAGGTATGGGGGGTGAGAGGGGTGAGGTAGGGGTGTGAGGGGGAGGTGGGGGGGAGGGAGGGTGGGGGAGGTATGGGTGTGAGGGGAGAGAGGTGGGGGGTGGGGGGGAGGGACGGAGGTATGGGTGTGAGGGAGGGAGGTATGGGGGTGAGGAGAGGGGTACGGATGGGTGTGAGGGAGAGGGTGTGGGGGGTGAGGGAGGGAGGTATTAGGTATGGGGTGGAGGAGGGGAGGGTGGGGGTGAGAGAGAGGGGCTGAGGTATGGGTGTGAGGGAGAGAGGTGGGGGGGGTGGAGGGGGTAGGGAGGTATGGGAGGATGAGGGAGGGGGAGGGTGAGGAGGTGAGGGGCAGGGGGGTGAGGGGAGGGAGGTATGGGGGTAGGAGGGGGCATGGAGGTATGGTGGAGGGTGAGGGGAGGGAGAGGGAGGAGGGAGAGGAGGGAGGAGAGGAGGGGAGGATATGGGGTGGTGAGGGAGAGAGGGGGGGGGTGAGGGAGGGAGGGGGGAGGGAGGGGAGGGAGGGAGGTGGAGGTGTGGGGTGGGAGGGGAGGAGGAGGAGAGGAGGAGGAGGGGGAGGGAGGTGGGGGGGAGGTGAGGGAGGAGGAGGTAGGAGGAGGAGGTGGGGGGGGGTGTGAGGGAGGGAGGTATGGGGTGGAGAGAGGGGTAGGAGGTATGGGTGAGGTGAGAGAGGTGGGGGGTGAGGGAGGAGGTACGGAGGTATGGGTGTAGGGAGGAGGTGGGGGGGAGAGGGGGGTACGGAGGTATGGGTGTGAGGGAGAGAGGGGGGGTGAGAGGGGGTGGAGGGAGGGGGGGAGGAGGAGGGTGTGGGAGGGTGAGGAGAGGGGTGGAGGAGGAGGGGGGGTGGTGGAGGGGGTGAGTGAGGGAGGGTAGGCATGGAGGTATGGGTGTGAGGGAGGGAGGTATGGGGGGGTGAGAGAGTGTGGGGTGGAGGAGGGAGGACGGAGGAGGGTGTGGGGAGGTGGAGGGAGGGAGGCATGGAGGTAGGAGGTATGGGGGAGAGGGAGGGGGAGGTATGGGTGTGAGGGAGAGGGGTGGGGTGGGTGCGGAGGTATGGGTGTGAGGGAGGGTGGTATGGGTGTGAGGGAGGGTGGTATGGGGTGTGAGGGAGGGTGGTACGGAGGTATGGAGGTGAGGGAGAGGGGTATATGGATGAAGGAGGGGTGAGGGGATGAATGGAGAACAGGCAGAACTATTAACTCATATCTAACTAGTTATATAACACCCGACAAAAATTGGTATAATATTTCTGCCGATTTCACCCGATAAAAATCTGTCAAAACTAGAAAGGTCTGTCGATGGGTAACGGGAGCGAAGGAAAGTGAAAATATATACTCAAAAAATCCCTATCTGATTTTAATTCACTTATCTATGCACTATAAACTATGTAAAGTAATAGTATTAGGAGTATTTCTCACCATTAAAAGGTATATTCGTTCATATTAGCATTTAAAGTAATCGATGAAATACTGTGTCAACGTAAACGGGTACTACCACAAAGCCTGTCTATTGCGAAACCTAACCGCAATGTCCGTTCTTTGTGTGACGAGTGACCTCATTCTGTACAGTAAGAATTAATATACTGCGGGTATTTTAATTCAATTGTATTATATTCATTTATATCATTATTTGTAATCTTTAATATGGTAATTCTGAATTTAACGGGGTGAACAAATGGTGGTTTAACTGTCCCTTCAGCCACTACTAATGTACTGTATAATTATGGAGCAACGTTAATTTTGCCGTCCACCACCTCAATGTTTGTGTGAACCGTGCCAATGGTTCCTGGAGAGCTTCTCACTTGTAACTTCTCATACATGTTTCAAAATATATTATAATAAGTACTGTGAACATATATACTGTACATCATGCAGTATATACACACTATACAGTAAAGCGAGAACTCACAAACTGTGAGAGCAGGTACTGCAACTGCCATCATTTAGAACCATCATCATCGCGGCATCCATTCCCTGTCGCTGTCTGTCATTGTTCAAAACTTTCTTTTGTGTCTATCAGATCAAACTTTCTCTTCCCAGCCAGGGATGCTCTCTGGGGTCCCTGCCCGGCCTTGTCTTCGGCTCAAGCAGTATACACCTTGCATCTTCTAATTTAAGCTATCTTAGTGAATAAGATATATTACTAAAGTTTCACAAATTATCTCATTATGGTAATCTGGGTATATATGGCACGTAGATACCCAGGAGTAAAAGTCCTGTAACGGGACAGCTCAGAAGCCTTCCTTGAAAAAGTGAAACCGGTCCTAACCCAGCCGAGATCTGTCGTCTTTCTGCCTTTATTATGAATCATACTCTACATCCCGTTGTTAGAGTATGGTAATTAGTTCATTTACAAAATATGTATATATTATAAAATGACAGACAAGACTGGTGATTTACGGAATAATGACGTTATTAAGACGAAGTCCAAGCCAGATGCAAGGAAAGGGACAGGCGCTAACAACGGGTGTCCCACCCCACTAACCCCGATTTCGCTCCCAGTGTTGCCAACGCCGAGCGGGAGAACAACTCTGCTTGATTCTTTGCCTACAGTGCTGCCAACACGTTATTCATACCAACGATTAGACTTTCATGTAGATAAAATAAATAACATTAAAAGTTTCATATATTTATGCTTAATAAAAGACTTCACACAGCATTGTGGTAAGCTATCTTTATCCACACTCAAGACACCTTCCTGGCCAGTCTTGTTGGGATCATTATCTATATACAGTTAATGTCTCCATACAACCAACAACCAGTACTTGGGGATAAATTAGCTGACCTGGGTCTCAAATAAGGTAAATTAATTGCAAATATTAATATGATATAAATAATACGAAGTTGACGTAGATAATTAAGTTACGTCACGAAATTTTCTTCCTAAACCGTTTCCCACATAAATGTTTTATACAATCCTTATTCAGTAACTGAACTTCTAAATATTCCCAGCACAAATTAACATGAGTTAGAACTAAGTTATTTACTTAAGTGCTTGTAATGAACAATATTGTACTGTACTAAGGTTGAACAGAGGTCAGTGAACCACGCAACGCAACCAGCGGGGTACGAATTCACGTTTACCCCTAGTCACTGTAACAGCACAAGTCTTGTTTCACATACCAAGTCTGAGGGACAAGTTTGTTTAAAGAATACATGTGAGAACTATTCTAAACATTAAGAGTGTGGCGGTGTGACCATGTTGTGGGTCAGCGGCACGTCAACCATTTCTGGTGCACATTCCTAAATTGTTCGTGAGTCATGTTGGATAAACTTCTTTTAAGGCATTTTCTCTTGACTGGATTTAGGTCATATATACACGTTTAACAACCAGGCAAAATATCGGTTTTAGATGCGAATTTGTCGGCAAGAGTATTTTCAATATTCAGATACGCGTTTAATTGGTTACCGTCCTGTTAATAATTTGAGAATGAAATTCATGATATTGTTGCGAGGGAAAGATGCAACTATACAATAATTCATACTGTGAGTGTTGAGTTGTGGGGGAGGGTTATGTGTGTTGAAGGGGTGTGGGAGGGTTATGTAGATGGAGTAGTGAGTGTTGAAGGGGTGTGGGAGGTGTCACTTGGACCAGCCGGTACTTACGGTCAGTGCTGGAAGGAGTCGGTATATCGGGGTGGTCATGACGCAGTGCACCCCGCTAATACGTCCTCTCTTGCATTCTCCACTCACAGATTATTAATGATGAACTTCCCTGGCGTGACACATTCGCTGGAGCAACACAACACCCGGGTATTCACTAGACCACTTGACTGGGACACAGTAATATTATTTATACCCTCAAACACCTACGTCTAGGGTTCATTAACAGTTTTTCTACAAGCATCATAATTTACGCAAACAATTAAACGTTTATTAAATGAGGTAATGTTAGTTTTCTTAATCTCATGAAAAAATATGCATTTCAATTTTTCACCGTCGGGTTTCCTCCGACCTGGTCACACCTTCACTGACACACTGGCACATTTTCCCTGCAGACATGTGCCACAACGAGTGTAGGCGCGTGTAGTTGTCTGGCGGGTGTATCTGAGTGTCCCGAGTGTACTTAAGGGGCACTGTAATAACACGTCACAAGGCCACTAACAAACGGGAGACCCCGTATCTCTCACAATGCTGGCTAACATGGGCACTACTGACCTAGCGCTCTAGACAAGGGCTCGGCAGTAACTGGTACCGCTCGCTCACTGGGACCTCTCAACTAGTGTTGCCAGCTACCTTCTTTCCGCCTACACCTTACGCTAACCTCATGTTGGATCCCTAAACATTTATATATATTTTTTAAATCTAGACACCGCTGTAACACGATTTTCAAATACAAGAGTACTACAGCCCTCAATGTAAGATAATGAAAACAACTATTTCTAGAGATACAGAACATTGATTCCAATTTTGAAGCCTTTTTTAATAACTAATAATTAATTATGACTATGAACCCAAATGCTGTACTAATGTAACAATCGTGTACAATTTTCCATTTTCTTCCCATCTGTTGACTACCGCAATCACACAAATATTAGTCCCATGCTTATTTCACCTTTTGACTGACCAGGAGTTAGGTTAGTCTCAGTTAGGTCAGGTTAGGTTATGGTAGATTAGGTCATGTCAGCGTTCACGTGGCGAAAGAAGCAGGAGGCTAATCTTCATGTGGACAAAGACACATACATCAGTAGAGGAACACAGTGTTGTCAGCCAATGGTCTTACGGGAGTATAGGATAATGTAGTTAGCGACAGAAGGAAATAAAACATCCAAATAAATCGTCGATTATCCTAGAATTAACAGATGTGAGCTGTATACTACTACTTATACTGGTAACATAAATAATAATACCTGTAATAATAATAGCGATGATTAAATATTATAAAATGATACGAGAATAATAATAATATAATTTTAATAGTCATTAAAATATAACATAAAACAAAGAGTTAAAAGTAATAAAATCACAATAAAAAATAAGAAACACAAAGATTAAATCACTTATGTTAGTCACTTTATCTACAAAAGAAAACGTTCATGCTAACTAACCTGTTTCATGCCTGACACATCATCTGAAGACTAAATGTGTCTCAGGGGCTGGCAATGTGTTATGTAGATGTCAGTCGTGGAGGTAAGGCGTGTGAGGCTTCCGGCGGGCGGGAGGTGGAGGTGGAGGAGCTGGGGGCGGGGAGGTCCAACAGGCGGCCTCGTGGTGGTAGCGGTGTGTGGCGAAGATCATGATCCGTCGTGCGTTGTGGTTACTGGCGGTGATGGTTGCCCCGTCATGCACCAGCTACGGATCTAGGGCAGGACTCTCGGTGGTTGACCTCCTACAGCCTTACCTCGAGGGAGAGACCAAACAAAAGAAGCCAAACAAAAGGTAATATATGATGACAACCACAAAATTGCATGTTTCCTGAACTATTGTAAGAAAGAAAAAAAAAAGGTTACTTACACCTGACCCGTTTGTCTGTTTCTCCATCTAGATCTCATGACCCTTTAAGACCACCAACGTCGCAACAGAGGAAGTAATCTGGGCCTTAACTATTACATCTAATTACGGTTATTGCAGGAAAGTTTAGAAAGTTTATTTGACAGATAATTTGACGTCGTACTCAGCGAACCCTTTAAATGTGTTGTGATATTTCTTTATAGGGGAAAGTTAATGTATGAACCCCTGAGAAAATGAGGTGATACTTAATGACGAGGAGAGAGGGGTAGGGTGTGTTCTGAAAGCTCTCTCCGCCTCTGGATACACAAGTGACAACAAAGATAACTTCGAGAAATCTAATTTACCTTATATGAAGCGAAGTAAATTGTTAAGAGTACGGCCTCCATGTCACAGTGGTAGTCTTCTCCAGCAGCGGGTTAAGAGTGTTTGTTCTTCGCCGCTAGAGCACCAACCTTACGTGTTATGCTCCTCCCGATATTATATTCAATATTTACATCAACGCAGACTAAGTTTAGTTCAGGAAATTACCAGTTTTTCCTTGTACACTCAACTGTGAACAACATTAAAAACAATTCACTTTCAAGACTGGCATTTTACCCGTGAAGCTACGCCCACGGCTGTCAATTTTGTTCAAATGAAAACCCGCGCTGTGCCAAAGACAAACAATTTCTCTTCCAATAAAGACTAATTTACTTTCCTACACCATCACTTTCACTCCTGCATACTGCACCTTAATGCTCAACCCTGACTTCTACGAACTTGAGTCCAAATAGAGGAACGTTCGCCCTCCAGAAACACACTACCTACCCATGATGTAACAAACGTATACACCCGGTTCTCCCACATGACCACCACCTTCACAACTTCTCTGGGCTTGGGTTTCTTGATTTCGATAATTATCATAACTTTTTCCCTTTAGCTGATGATATGAGCACGATTTATACGGGCTTATTTTAGTGACGAGAATCGATGGTGTTGAAAATGACGTTTAGACTGCCCTGAGATATGTTCAATCTAATGTAGGTTTATTTAAGTGATATTCTTGACCGCCCAAGTATGAATCAACAGATATTTTCCACATCATTAATATCACTAAACTTAGATATTGTATTACAGTATCTTCACAAAACTCTATATCACTTGAGTAATTTTTTCCAAGACGTTATTTATTTATCCATAATCTTTACTTAATTAATTTGACCAATACTGTAAACACACGCTATGGCTGGGATACAGACCTATGTTACTTCACCCAGTTATTTTATATTTCACCATTTATCTTTATTACGTTTAACTCTACCACAAGAATCTCTGGTTGATACTTGGCAAGGCTTGTGGTAAACAGTTTTGTATAAGGAAATACTTAAATTTAATGATGAGAGTAATGTTCTTTGGTCGTATTTCTTAAAGGCTAGTAGGCTGATTATGTTTCGTGACTAAATATTTAAGAATCCTATAATTTGTGCATCTAATCTACAACACAAAGCGAATGTTCATATTTATCACCAGTTTGGGGAAAGAAATTACAGCATTTTCGAGAGGTATTTCCTTAATGTTGATTTTGTATCATAACTGATGCTTAGTGATTATTTCAGTTACAGTAACGTTTCAGTGTAGAGTTTGAGTGTTACTATTGTTCTTGGAATTATGTGTACCAGTTACGTGTTTTTTAATTCCTTTAGAAAAAATATTCATCGTGAGAACCTTTGAGCATCTAGACCTTGTGCCAGTGGACATTAGCGGCAGGGCTGTTTGGTCAGCCTCACGTCATGGTTGTCAGGAAGCCACGGGCGGGTTTAATCACCGTGGTGGGAACGCGCGCTGGAATGTTCACCAACACCAGAATGTCATCTGTTGATGTCAGCCTTCCCCACCATTTATTTGCTCACCGACATTAACATACTGTACATGTGATAGACCAAAATAATGTTCCCTGTATAAAGTCTCTACTTTTATCAGTTCCACAACTTATTATTTAATTAGATCAACATTCAAGTTAAACCTTGTAATTCCTTTTGTAACTAGCGCTTATGCAGATCTTATGACTCCTATATTCACGGGAATAAAAACAGCCGCAAACGAATCAAGTTACTAATATGCATAATAGTGTTATGTTGTAGTGAACACAGCAACACTTGTTGCGATCTAAACGAATTAAACGTGGATGAGCCGCCATTATGCTGCCTGAGTGGCCTGGAGAGCACTGGTGGGCCCAGGCGAGAGTTTCCTGCGTCCACCACCAAAAAGTGGACCTCGAAAGTAGGTCGCCAAGCCAAGGTGCCTAGCAATTAGCAGCCTTTACTGAACCAAACATAGGTAGCTATATAGCTACTCCACATATATTAATCTAAACCTTTCAAACCTATAACAGAGAAACTTAGGGGAATTGTTTTTGTTCGGAAAAATAACGTAACTGAGAGTGATTCTTGAGATGTAGGGCAGTAGGAGCCACCCAGCCGCAGCTAGTGCGCTCCACTGCCGCCAGTGGTGTGACCTGTCTGTCTGGATGCCATTGCGCGCGAAATGCAAAGGAAGATTCTTTATACACTATTAGAGCCAGGGGTATGTGTGCACCCACCTAGGCTACTGAGAACACCAAAATATATTTAGTATCTAGACAGGTTAGTGTAACAGGAAGTGAGGACCACTATAGTACGGACCAGGTGAGTACTATACATTACATGGCTAAGTAATGATCTGGGGAGGAGGATGACGGCAGCACCTTTTCACATGGTAAGACTGTAGGGAACACAGGTCAAACGCATCACCGAGAAGTGTCAACACCAACTCAACAAGGGGCAGAGTGGGACCATCTAAGGAGAATGAGATGGCAATGAAGTATTTGGAGAGCCTTTTCAGGTATGGTGGAAATTAAGATATACTTCTGTTCCATCCTTACCACGGGACACATCATCTCAACCTTTCATGGATTCGCCAATTTGATGCAACTGGATATGTCTTAAGCACACTACATAAACTACTAAGAGTCACCACGTACTCATGAGTCACACGTGATGACCCTGTTATCCATTCAGACTCATCATCTATAATGCCACTATGGTACCACACGTGCTAGAGGATGAGAAGAGACGATGCTAGAAGTCACAAGTTCAAGTTATATGAGACATTCCATAATTATTAAGTATTTTACGTTTGATCTGGTTCCCAATTTTCTTTTGCTCGTTATTCTCTTTTTTTTTCTTCTTCCTGGCAACAAAAAAACCAACTTCCCTCATTTTTATTAATCAAAGGAAAATCTTGACCATGCATAAGTTGTACTCGTATACGTCAAAAGTCTACGGCGTTTCTCTGGCATATTTTAGAGAACAGGTTAAGTTAGGTTAATCTTTAGGGGAAATAAGCTGGGGTAAAGATACTTCATGTGATTCGCCATTCTATAAGACTAAACAAGAAATGTTGAATTCACACAACTTAAAATACACAGATAATATCAGAAAAAAAATAACGATTCACTATTGCAAAAAATGGCTTCAGTAGGTTGGGAGTGAGAGGGCTCGATCACCCTTCTCTCTCGCTGCTACATCGTCGACTGGTCAATAACACGCAGGACATTTGGCAACACGTTTATTAGGAAAAAAAGATGATATAAACCCTGGTAAAATACACAGTAGGATTGTCCAAGAGGAGCCGAGGAAGAGACTTAAATATACCGCTTTGCCTTTTACATATTTATTTGTTTACATATTTCACCGGAGATCAATAAACATTTCCTCGTCTCATCTCTCACATTCTCAATCGATTTTATGATCTATGGTGTTTTAAAATATCACCGTTTTATATCCAACTGTTATGCTATTGATTAGTTGCTTCTGATGTCACGTTCTGATTGACTTAACTTATGGAAATCAGGAAATCAATGTGTAATAAAACGTTAATAAAAATGTAAGCAGTGAGTGCAGTATAATAGGGAGATGTGTGTATACTCTTATAATCACCGCTATGTCCCACCGAAATACCCTAAGCCAGTTATCTTATTTAAGTTTCGTTTGTTCATTCTGGGTTTTGAATAATGATATAACTCCGTCTATACTGTATCGCCCACTGCTATACAACTGAACGAGATTACTCCCAAAAATAACCACACATATATGAGTTAAATAATTTACTTGCTGAAAGGTGCGATGCTCAACGATGCCTGGTAACACTGACTCAAACACTAACTCTGGCTGGTGACGACGCGGGATCTCAGTACTATATGCTATGGCACTATTGTCACTGAAAATAGATATCTTAACATAAAACATAAGATACAATTCAGATAATGTTATGGTGTTTTTGCAATTTTAATCAACAGTACCCAACAGCCTAGTAAAAAAAACACGATCTAACTGAATAAACTAATTAAGTATTTAAGTGGCATTTAAAGTGTGCAAGAGCCTTTCTATTTCTCATAAATTTCGCTGTTTGACGTTATCGTGAGTCTTGTGATATGAAACCTCTACTTCTGATATGTTAAAAGAAAGAATATTTTAACAGATTTACATATTTACCGCATGCGCGTGATTTAAACTACCGATTATATTGTTTGAGGCTGAGCTGGTAGATTATATTTATATATATATATATATATATATATATATATATATCAGTCTCCTGGTAAATGTGGTTATTTTTTTATAAGTAAATATAGGGGTTAAATAAACAGAAGAAAAATGTACTAAATATTTGCACATATTAAACAATTCACGTATTACCAATGACATTATTTAATTAAGAGGATAAATCAAGAGTTCACAGCGCAATTTTTGTTTTGGGGATCTAGTTTGTTGATAAGTGTAGATGAAAATTTTATATTGTGACTTTGGGCCTAAAATTCAGTGTAATTCCAACTTTGAACCTCTGGATTTAAATAAAATTAATTTGTTCGAAGTTATTATGACAATGAATTTTAGGCCCATAGACAAATTGTATTATAAATGTTCGTTTAACACGCATAGGCCTAGACCCAAAGGTTTCAAAACAGTATTGTGCCTACCTTTAACCCCTGATTTGACCTCTTCTGTGATTTTACTGTGTGTTGACAATTCACGAACACAGTAAAGGCAGTAATTACTGGAAGATCACAAATCATTCAACACAAATATACTGTGGAATCGTACAGGTAGTTTTCAATGAATCATGAGTAATATAACAATGAAAAATGTAACTAAGGACACTAAAATATCTCTATGCTGTATATGACATTACAAGCATACAAAAATTTCAAACCATTTCTTATACATGTCTTTTCTTTCCTAATATATTACTGTAAATTCTTCTCTAGTTATCCACCCAGGTGAAAGAAAACGAGTCTGCCTGACAGCAACACATACGCTCCATAGAAAATGGTCACAAGCCACGGTAGTCTCAAAAGAAAACTTGGATTAATTATTTTTTTATATCATGTCGCCTTCTGCTAAAACGAAAGGTTCTCTATACCGGACACCTGAGAGTAAGGATGTGAAGGAAACTATATTACTTTTTTTTAACCTTTCATATCGGGGATTTTTTTTCGAAAGCTTTTCACAAGAACAAAATACAGAGGAGTGAATTTTGCCCATAGCTCATTCAGGAGGCAAGAGTGACCACACACACACACGCGCCCCTTACCTCCCACACATTATACGAGTTAATGTACAGTCTTTGCACAGATCATACACTTGTAATATCTAGTAGAGAACACTGGAGGAATGAGAATCAACATTATATCTCTATGTATATACTATATATATTATATATACTGTATATTTATATATATATTTCTTCACTTTCAAATGGGACGCTTATGCAAGACTCTAAGGTATGTATATTAGATATACATACATGTATATTTATATAGAATAGCCCTGTACAAGTATCTTATGGTCTAGAGAATATCTTTTCCCCCATTTGTAAGGCATTATGACACATTAAGGTCAAGGGTTCTTACTCCCTATCTCCTGACAGTTGGGCATCATTCAAGTTGAAGGAAAACGTTTTGCCATCACCACATCATTCAGCGGATCACGGCTAAAAAAGGTCAAATCTTCTCGTGTTACTCAGGGCTCAGAGGAGGAGTGGCGCCATCACAGTGGTACCTGTACGAGGTTATTAATTAGTGTGATGAAATGGCTGGTGTTTTGAATATTTTACTAACACGAATATAAATTTTGCTCTTGATCAAAATTTTTAATATATATTTCAAAACTTCAAATAGTTTATGATTCGTAAGTAGTCGACGGAGAGAAGAATTAGAGAGGGTAGATGTGTTAACTTAATACAGAACCAGATGACCTTTTTCGGCAGTGAACCTTGACCTAATAAAACTCATTAATATGAACCCTGACATATACGGATTAGGAGGCACTGAAGAGGCAAGGAAAATACACACACAATACATAATACACTATACGTAATACATTATGAATGACACAGGCCTGTGGTCAAGATAATCTCTACCTTGAATAAAGCTTCACTAAGGCTCAGCATATCTGCATATCAAATGGAAATACACAGATTATGGACATATATGAATTTATACTTTCTGGCCTACAAGCTTTCAGAACTTTTGACGGCCATCTTCAGAAAGAAAAGCTCTTTCAGAAATGCTTGTTCACTGGCCAATCAGTATTTATTTTTGTTGTTGTTTCTGAAGAACACCACCCAACTACTATACACTGACTGAAGGATGCAGTATTCATTTGATTCGAGAGTCAGTTTACAAAGACACACACAGTGACAACAGCACAGTATATACACCAGTTGAAGAGAAACTTTGTTGGAACATTACTCGTGGGTTGAAAACACTTGGGTTAAACATATATACTTGTATAAACATTTTTAGGGGGGAACTATAAACATCTGTCAATATATTCATCCAGTCACCCGCAGACTCACAGAGACTTTACAGGTAATATATATATTTTTTTTTCAGGTGTTACTAAGCTAAATATCTACAGTCAGCAGAAGGAGTCTCACAGGCTCTTATGACTGACTGGCCACTGAGAGAAGGACGGGGCTGATCCTTCTCACTAGCCAGTCAAGCACAATTTGGCAAACGTCCATCTCTGAACACAAATTTGGACTAGCAAGACCTATTAAGCTACGGTAGATAAGTTGAATTTTATCACTAGTGGGATATTTCACCCTTAACTAAACAGACCAACATCTTTAACACTCTAAGAGACACATGCTCTTAGTTTAGCACAGTTCATATCCCACAACAGTAATGAAGAAGTGTTTAAAGGAGGAGAGGAAAAGGGGGAGGGGGGACTCGGAACTCTCTTCACCAAGTCATTATATAGAGAAAATCTATCTCAAGAAATCTATAATGCTTTTCATGGTACTTCAAATGTTTTCTAAATGCACTGCACCATTCATTATCCACTGTTGACATTATAATTATTATCCCTTACCTAATGATGCTCAGAAAAAGTGTGATATAATTTCCATAATCACCGTAAAGATGTTCTATAATCATACTGACTGGGATGAAATTATACCATAGCCTGACACATTGTATTAAATATATAAATCTGTTAAAGACATGAGGCAGATATATGCTTTGGTAAACATATTCATAATACTAATGTCCATAAATTTCACGAGATCTGATTGTGCTTATGTGTATCTGTCTAACTGTGATTACCAGAATGTGTGTGATTGATTGGAAATGCAGAATTACAGTAGATGTGGTCATGTGTAAATACAACTCATGTAGAATGATCCATTGAATGTTAAATCTATAAAATATTATTAAAAAAAGTCATTCAAAATATATTTAACAGTCTTCCAAAAAGGGGGGGGGCAGCAGATACAGTGTCTTAAATTGTCTTGTAAAAACTGACAATGTCCACTAAAGTTTGTACCATATCATCCAACAGCTGATGATAATAATAAATTAATTCTATAATACCATAAGGCAATTCTTCCATGAAGCTCTGTCACACTTTATACAAAAATAATTCAAAATAAGACCAGAGCCTCCGAACGTTCCAATACTGTATAAGCTTGACCAGATATCTTTCTCCTGTGGATCAGCTTAGAATCACCTCTTCAGCCAACTCATTCACATCAAACTAATATCTTCTTAATATCATGTGAAATATACAAAATATATATGATCTATTTTTAAAACCGAATTTTACACCTACAGTAATAATAAAAAAAATATAAATATACTGAAATAATATTCGTTTCCTCAGGGGTTCAAAGATGATAAGGTATTGTTTTTATTGGAATCTTTATGTGTATATGATGTTTGAATGGTTATTGTGTCTATGGGCCTGAGATTTTTTTTAGGCCTACAGATACACAATTAACATCTTGCTTACACATATACAGGAACAAAATATATCATGTCACCTTTGCTCACCTGAAACGAACTTTTTTGTAAAACTTGTGTCGTAATTAGTGTTTCAGGTAACCATTTAATTCTATTGTTATTGTTTTATTTTACAAGCTATCATTACCAACATCACGAGAAACAATAAAATATGAAGGTAAGAGTCAAGTCATTTGGGTTAAATTTTTTTGGAGTACTTACATTATAATCTCAAGAGACAACCCGTTTACAATGGTTAGGTCACATATTTATACCAGATAAAGATTCAAATTGGTATCATCATTCGATTTCCTTAAGTTTTCTGTGTTTTGGGTATATTTCAGTATAACTAGTAGTAATTGATACGCTAATTATTACAGTGACCACATTCATAAAACCCCAAGGTCGCTTAATTAACTAACAGGTTGTATTAAAACTTATTCACTTCAACAAAAAATTAAGAGGAGAGGAATGAATGTGACGTATACATACACTAGTCTTCACATGATATAATGAGTAACACATAAAAGATACATTACATGATAACGGAAGTTGTTACTCAAGTACAGTATTACACTCATTCCATTATGGGTAAATTCTGCTGAGTATGACCTTATCCAACAACGTTATGCTTTGGTCCGTCTCCAGCTGTACATTATACTATTAAAAAGTATCAATGAAAAGGTAAATATATTCCTGTGTATGATGTGTCACCTCAAGCCTCCATATTCTATACATTAAATACTATTAAATGCTTCCTGGTCCTCAGTTTATTATAATTCTTGCTATAAATTATAATATATATCTGTAGCCTATAAATAAATTGTTCCAACACTACCGGTAATTTATGGTGATTTGTGATTTATTTATTCTCCCTTGTGATCACCGAGTTGTTTTCCTTTCTTATTCTCAAATGTTTGTGTAGTCATTTCATAATAATAATAAACTATAGAGCACCATCAGCCCCCCTCCCTCCCCTCTACTGTACAGTGTAAACCTCAGCTGATCACGTCAACGGCTGTGCTCCGCCTCCACTTTTCTGTTTATTACTTGCATTACCATAGTTTTCCTTTATTTACCCTCTCTTTATTTCAGTGTTTATTGCTTATTCTTGTTTTATAAGTCACTTAATATCAAAAAATTAATCGCTGTTTTCATTCTTCCCTACTTGATCTAGTTTCATAATAATTTTCAATGTTTCGTTCTTCATTAATTTCAACCTAAGAACTGTTAGTGTCATTGCTGTTCTAACGTTGTTTTTCGCCGTTAACTGTTGTTTTATTTATGTTTGTCATTGCTGCTTCAGTCTTGTTCGCCAGCCACCACCTTACTTGCTGTTGAGTTGGTGCCAGCGGTCATGTCGACGGTCAGGGTACTGCAGAGCGTCGTACCAGTGACGCAGCTCAGAGCCTTTGCTGTCCTGCGATAACTGCAAACCACCTGGAAACACAAAAAAATTCTTACTAACACACGTACTCTCTATAAAACCAACTTAGTACATAAAATATCTGTACGTGGCATTTACCTTTTTATAATATGGAACGGGATAAAATTGGAGACCTACCAAAACAATAATAAATACTGATAATCTAGCCACTTACCAATAAAATCGTCACTACGTCCAACATCTTTGTCATAAACGCGAATATCTAAAAGTTTCTTCGGCAGTTCATTCCTGCGGACCTCAAACACAAACTCTTCATTAAATTCTGGATTGAGATTTTTCCATTTTATTGCGGTACGGTATTTCTTGTGTGTCGGGTCTGGTTTCAGTTGCCTGTAATAAAATCAAGTCGTCGTCGTAGTAGTAGTAATAGTAGTAGTAGTAGTAGTAGTAAATATATGCTAAAACTACAGAGAACATTTACAAATAAAATAATTTACAGTATGGTAATTAGTTTAATTAAGGGAATAGATAAACATTATGTCTGGTTACAAACACTTAAGACCTCCCCACCACACCAATAAGGAATAAACACAAGGAATTATAATGGACAGAGGAACATATTTTAAGGAATTACTGAATGTTGAATGTTCATAAGCTTTTAGAATTCTTTTTTCACAGTGAACATAACATAGCCAGTCAAGAGTGAAACTTATAATATGGCAACTTTAGGTTACACATACAACGTAAGATACAAGACGAAAGACGGGGGCGAACATACACTTTAACGTAGGGATCAGAGAAGCCATTGGAGTCCATGGAAGGGAGATGGGCACAGCGGACGATGCCGACAATAAGAGCGTTCCTCTGTGTGGCGTATTTCAGACTGAGTAGCACCTTTCCTCTCTCTGCTTCTCCCTTCACCTCGTCCTCCAAAAGCTGAAAATATTTATTACCCATGACAGTTTAATTTAGTCATTATAAAGATAAGATGAACTTTATATAGAAGCTAACATAGGTATAATGCATGTATTTAAAAGATTCACTACACGATAAGACATACTGAATACAAACATAATCTAGAATACTCACGTTGGCTCGCTTATCTAAACTGACCCTAATTCGTTTAGTTTCATGTGGGCGAACCTTTTTAAGAGCAACACGAGCCTCACCCAAGAAGTCACAGCCAAAACGATCCTCATCTGTGACAAGAAATTACTATCAACAGGCAAGGAAAACAGTCAACAGATACACGTTCTTGAGATTATCTTTAAAACTGTATGTACTCTATTGTATGTATAATAAACAGTGGTTAAAATATGCTTTTTTGATTAGCCATGTGTCTTACCAAGGATATTGAGGCGTAGAGTTTTCCGCGCCATATCCTGGTCAGAGATGCCATAGTATGTGAGCGTCTCGTTGAAGTCTGGGTTAATCGTCTTGGGTATCGTGCGCGTTCGTAACTTGTTGGACTGCCAGATGTATGAACCGTGAAAACATGTGAGAGGTTAAGTAATGTTTTTAGTATTACATTATTATTATTATTATTATTATTATTATTAAATTTCACCAAAAAAGATTGACATAAATTCCTCTGTTAACTAATGTTATATAATACAATTTACTTAATTTTTAACGTTGGTAAAAAAATATATATATATATTTTCCAACTAAAGAAGTGAAAAAACTGACGGACTAAAATAAATCCAAAAATATAGACATTCATTTGACTACCAATACTGTATAATAACCTTTACTTGGTCATAATTAAGTGCCTCGGGTCAGTGCCTCAAGAGTGCCACTTCGGGAGGGGTACTTACCTTGCTGGCGCCAGGTAGGAGGTGAAGTTTGACGTATGGGTCGGCCTGCTTACTGCTGCCGCTGTCTGCTGGCTTCAGGTTCTGTGGAAAAATAAAAACATTAGCATTACGCAGTATTATGATGTTACGGATAGACAGGCAGACAGACCGAGGCAGTGTAAGTATAAAGACAGTGGTTAACAGGTTACAAGTCGGGAATGTCTGTCTTTCCTCGAGTGTCTGGCGCTAAACAAGAGATTAAAATATAAGACACTAAGCACCATGGGATCAGCACACACACACACACACACACACACACACACACACACACACACACACACACACACACGTGGAGGAGATGGTGGGGAAAGAAGGAATGAAGGTTGATGTCCTGTATGAGTAGGAGGGAGAAAGGGAGATAAACGAGAGAGAAACAGAGAAGACGATAACTGATGGATGATGGAACAAAGGAGGAGGAGGAAGAGGAGATAAAAAGAATGCTTGAGGAGCGAATGAAAGGAAACATAATAAAAAAAAAGAGGAGTAGAAAGAAATATTTGATGTAAGAGTGATTAATGAACAGAGAGAGAGAGAGAGAGAGAGAGAGAGAGAGAGAGAGAGAGAGGTTTGTGTGTATATGCTTATGAGTATGTGTATCTGCGTGTGTGTGTGTGTGTGTGTGTGTGTAGAGGAGATGAGAGGTGTACCCAGCAGGTGTCCAGACAAGTATCGGTTCTCTATACAACATCTGCATGACTGTCTCTCTCTCTCTCTCTCCCTTCCTCATGGTCTGATCTGTATGTGTGTGTGTGGTGGAATCCGTTACATGTGTTGTGTGTCCTGTCCTGACCTGTCCATCATCCAGCGCCTACACCCTCCAACAACACCCTCCAACAACACCCACCTACACCCTTCAACACTCTTTAATATCACTTACCTACACCCTCCATCACCACCCACTTACACCCTCCAACACCCTCCAACACCACCCACCTACACCCTCCACCACCATCCAATAAGTATCGTAGCATCAACCACTATCCTCAACCATTCACTAGGCACAATCACCCACTACAATCAAGTGACCGCGTAGCAACTAACACCTATAATCAGGCAGGTACAGACGTATTGAATAAATTAACAAACTCATTAACTAACCTAACCTAAACTATCAATAAACTAGTAACAACAAATCTAGGAACACAGCAACACACTAGATAATACCTAAACTAGCAAAAACACACTAGTAATATAACAAGTTTAGCAACAGTGGTGGGGAAAAAAAGTCTAATTCGTGGTACCAAAACTTACCATGAAACATTGTTATTATGGGCGGGTTTTTTTGGGGGGGGGGGGGGGGGAGGGGGAGGGGGAGGGCTGTGTTTAAGTCGGGGCCCAAATCTGCTGCACCAGACCTGAGTAAAAAGATTTCTTGGAGCGTGAGGAAGATGTCTCAAGGCGGCTTAATAAAATAAATGACCAATTCTTACCGTCCTTGTCATTTTTAAATTTTCACGGTGAAGGAATTTTGATGATGGGAGAGCGCCAGAAACAATCTCCAAGATATATATTATTATCACGAGATGTGTTATTAGTATGCTAGTTGAGGGGGGGGTAAGGTAGCTAGTACTAATATTTACTAGCGGCTGTTGACATTGGATACCTACTCATACACTCAGAGGTGCCGTTCAGTTTTGTGTAAGAAATTTTGTCTTTCCTTCCCAATATAATCTATCACAAGCAAGTTTTGGATCATATGACTATTATATTTATCTCTTCTCAGAAAATTCATGACGTGTGTAAAGGCTCTAGTTGTTATGAGGTCAAATTTGGCGCGTAGTAATACACCTCATGTGAACTCGCCCTAAAGAATCAGGTTTTGAGATTAGAATTTACGTCTGACGAGCTCTTAAAGGGGATATTTTTAGGAGTGGAGGTGTTTTAGTATCTTTTTTTTTCAAAGCAACGCACGTAAATAAACCACCTTCCTCTTTCCTCGTGAATATTTGTACCAGAGACCAACTCGACGGCAAACGCGGCGAAAGCTCCACACAAACTCCGCCAAGTGTTTACCAAGGGATCCTGCCGCTTGTCTGGTTGTTGCTGCGAGGTGGTCAACGCTGGCTACGACTGACAAATAATATGGTACAGGGACGTGGATTATCGTGGTAATTATAGATAAGGGGGTAGAGCTTGAAGGAAAGGAAAGGAGACACCTAAAACCCAACCCTCTGCAGTGAGTGTGGGTGACTTACCCTGGCCCCGTGCACGGTGCAGTGGAGCGCCTGGTTGTGGGAGTCATACAGGAGGGAAAACTCGACGGTGCCCATCTCTGCCGTACCTGTAGGGAGACACACCACCTGTTAACACCTGGTGACTCATTAGTGAAATTGTTATGACAATAAGCTGAGTTTTAGGTATTACTCGTAAATCATTTCGACTCAGAGGGACAATAAGTGACGGAAGTTCATTGCAGTGAGTCCATAATACACGTAGGTTATTAATTCTTCAACGAGGCTAACAACAGACACTTAAACAAGCGATATAAGCTGTAGGCAGGGTAATAGGATACGCCTACAGGACACATTATTTTATCCAACACTTCACACCATGAGAGCTGGAGTCCTTGGTGTTGGGGGAGGAGTGTGGGGCGGTGCGCTCCTCGGTGAACACGTCGTCAACACTGCTGCTGGTAGTCACTTCGTCCCGTGTCGACGACTCTCGTGATATTAGCGAGTCGCGTGAGTCCCGAGAACCTCTGGTGGGAGAGAGAGGCAGGGGGCAGCGTTAGGAGGAGAGTGACAGTAAAACTTAATTGTATGTCAACTAAGATCAGGATGAGGGTGTCAGAAGAAGGTGGAATGGGACAACACAAGTCAAGAATGAGTCATTAAAGTTAATGTGTGTCGGAGGTGAGTGTGACAACAGGTGTGTCTGTGTGTCCAGAGGTGTAAAGAATGTCAACGGGGGTGAAGTGTAACATCTTTACCATGTAGGATAAGTGTGTGGTGACTCACCTAGAGTCGCGTGAGTCACCAGTGTTCCTGGCTAGTCTAGGGTGCCGTCGGTCGTCGCTACTCTTGGAGGCCTCAGACTCCCGTCTGGAGCGGAACCCATTGACGGTGGGCGAGGACCCGCCTACGCCCCCCATGTTGGTGCTGCCGCTACTGCTACTGCTGCTTCTGTTAACGGGCAGGGGCGACGGGTGTGGGCTTCGAGGTGTGGCGGGGGTGGGCGTGACGATGGCAGAGGTGGAGTGGTGGTCGGTGATGCCCCCGGTGCCGGGCGTCCCCGGGGCGCTGCCGTCAACCTCCCCGTCTTCCCGGCTTTCTCGGCTGTGGTTGGGAGAGTCACTCACTGACGAGTTGGACCCCCGACCTGAGTCCCTCCACGCCACCCTGTGGGGAAGACCCAGTAAATGAGGGGAGGAACACAGAAAGAACAGAGAAGTGTGAAAAAAGGGAGAAATTACCAATAAAAAAAAGACAATCTCGTGTGTGTGTGTGTGTGTGTGTGTGTGTGTGTGTGCATACGCGCGTGTTATATGACAATAAAACACTCGACTTTTCCTTCACCATCTAAAGTCAGGTAGAAGAAGGAGGAAGAAAATGAGAAGAAATTAAGAAAAGGAGAAAGACTAAAGACTAAGAATGAGAAGATAAATTGAAAGCAAAGATGAAGGCAGAGACGTCAGTAAGAATACAATAAACCAAGAACAGTCCACTCAACACCAGCCTCGCCTCCAACACTTTACAACAACAAAAATACCAAGGAATTTAATTGGTAAATAATTCTCTTACACAGAAACTCTTGATCACCACGAGGACCTCCGGGGAACTGCTGCACCACTGCCCAGTTACCTTAATGAAACCAATTGTCACAACCCGAATATAATCACCCGCGAGAAAGGTCCAGGTCACGTTATATCTCACAAATACAGGGTGTCTCATAAGTAACTTTACCAATATATATTTTTTACTGAGGTTGGAGTCTTTGATGAGTCTTGTAGTCTTACCTGAGTAGCGGGGAGGGGGACCTATCGATTGCTTGGTCACGACGTAGCTCGGTGCGAGGACTCAGCTGGTGGGGGGAGGGGGAGTAGTAAGGGCTGAGGAGTAGCGACCCCACCTCCCCCCCTCCCCCTCCAGCACTCTCCCGACTCGGCGCCCGGCTCAGGTCACGCTGGGTCACCGCTGAAACAAGGGAACAATTTATTTAAAAAATAAATAAAATAAATAAAACAAACTAACAATAGGTGGGCTGTAGGTCCCGTCCCTAAGCAGCCCACAGTTAACACACCATGAACTTGTGTATAATATTCACCTTTTCATTCGATTTCCAAGAAAGATCCAACACGATAGCATAGACCCGAACAAAACCAATGAATCCAACAACCCACAATTGAAGGTGGATGTCATTGTGGATGTTGCTACGACACAGATAACTTGGATATGTTAAGAGATCTGGTTTGAGGTTTTTTTTTCTGGAGTGGAGTGGGGGGAAGAGGGAGGGGACGAGAGGGAATGGGAGTGGAGTGGAGGGGTAGGGAAAGGAGAGAAAAGAAGGGGGGATGGAGATTGGAGGTGGAGTGAGGAGAAGACATGGAAGAGAAAAAGTACCAGAGAGAGAGAGAGAGAGAGAGAGTAGGAGAGAGAGAGAGAGAGAGAGAGAGAGAGAGAGAGAGAGCATAAAGTCACTTCCCTGCATTTTGTCTGGTAAATCCACAGAAAACTATAATTCTGAGCTGCCGTCGTTGGGACCAATGAGCAAAGAGGATGGCCATCCTGCTGCTCCAGCTGGATCGTCTTTAAGCGGGAAAACTGTGAAACATTAAAAGGAGGGTTGGGGGAGGTGGGGGGGGGGAGGGGGGGAACTGGGAGGGGAGGAAGGGGCGTAGATGGTGTGAGGGGTTGACATACACACACAGAAACGGTTTATGTGACAGGAAAAAAGGAAGAGGAGAGCCAAAACAACAGAGAGAGAGAGAGAGACAGAGAGAGACAGACAGACAGACAGACACACGACCTATTCTCATATACAGCACTAAGGAAACACGATTAACAGAGGAATTCTTTTTTTTTTGTAAGTGCACTTCCTAATGTTTGCTTACCCCCTGTCTGGTGTTGAGGATAACCTATGACACTTCCACTACGTCTAGAAACACGAGTCTGCATTCATACTTCAAGGTTGACCCCCAAGATGACCTTTAAATAGTGCCACCGAGAGTCAGGAGGGAGAGGGAATAACATGTCTAGGAGTGGTCAAGTGCTGTTATAGTGTGCGTGTGTGTGTGTGTGTGTGTGTGTGTGTAGGGCCTATTGGTATGTGGCACTAACATGTACTATAGTGTGTGGTGATGGTGGTGATGATGGTGGTGATGATGATGATGATGATGATGATGATAATGGTGATGATTTATGGTATAACTATATTATTTCTATTATTATCATTACTACTACTACTACTCCTAATAATAATAATAACAACACTTACATAATTATCAAAGCTAAGTATTTCAGGCACTACAAGACTCAACCTAAAAAATAAAAAAATCATGAACCTGGAAAGCAAATATAGGAACCACAACCCTCCTTCCAAGACACAGATCACAGGGTGGGGGTTGGACGGGGTCGGGGTGGGGCTGGGGAGGGGTGGAGGTGTGGAGGGTAGGAAAGTAGGGGGTGGTGGGTGGGGTGGTGGGGGCTGCTACAACTTAATCCCGCGTGGGTAATGATTCAATTTAGTGAATTATTGAGAAAAACTTGAGCCGTAAAATTGCAGCTAACATATGAAGACGCTGGTATATTGCTCTTGTGTTTCCCTGAGTTCTTTCTTACAGTCACAGCTGCTTATAACTACTAATAACCCGCCATTAACGACGCCAGAGTGAAAGAGTAGATAATAATAATAATGTGTGTGTGTGTGTGCAGGAGGAGCTCTTTTACTGTGGAGGAGGTGCTAGTGTCGTCATAGTGTTACTGGTCTCGTCATAGTGTTACTGGTCTCGACATAGTGTTACTGGTCTCGTCATAGTGTTACTGGTCTCCTCATAGTGTTACTGGTCTCGTCATAGTGTTCGACCTTTAACTGTGGTCTTCATCTCTATCTTCTCGTGTCTCGTCTCTTCTATCGTAAAAAAAAAAAAAAAAATTACGATCAACACAATTTACTGACTCCCGATACTTAGAATTTACATAACATCCCCAACAAGTGAGCCATCCAGCCCCATTGACAGAGGTGAACAATGGTTTCAGGATCAAGTTAATGTTATATTATATTCCCCCGGTAAGGAAGTAAATCCCCAGTCCAGCTTGTTCTGCACGGCCCTCTGTCCTGTCGAGAGGGGTGAGGAGAGGGGATGGTGGAGAACAGGGAGTGGGGAGTGGGGATGGGGGAGGACAGGGAGTGGGGTACGTGACGCAACAGTGAGAAGGTTATACCACTGTCAAGGGAGGGGAGGGGAGGGGGGGAGGGGAGGGGCAGGGGGCAGGAAGACAGACACACGCCATAATGTCCAAACGCATATGCAGGAAAATGAGCCCCCCCCCTTTTAGCAAGACACACACACACACTCACACACACACATACACACACACACACACACACATACACACACACACACCTGCAGGGGGTCACACAACACAATACCTCAAAACAAAACTAAAAAGTAAAGTCATCTAGGAACGTCCCCTCTCCCCACCCCCTAAAAAAAAATCTTCTTATTTTAATCCTGGAGGCTGTGCTTGCGTTGGCTTTTTGGCGGACAGGCAAGTCTTTGTTACCTTTCATAATACCTAACCTGTTTTTTCCTACAAGACTTCTTTTTTTCCCCCTCTTCAAAAGAACGTAATCCCCCCTCAAAAAAATTCCTCTTCATAAGTCCTGTTTCACGTGTTTCCCCTCATGACAGGGAAATACGCTACTGGGTCTTGGTACAGTGTAGTGGTACCTTAAACTGATCTTCTTCTTCTTCTTCTTCTTCATCTTCTTCTTCTTCATCTTCTTCTTCTCCTCGAGGATGTCTTCGCATTGCTCCTTCATATACACCATCCAACCCTGTGTTAGTTTATCCAGTTACTACATTAAATATTCGTTTTTATTTATCCCCACTTTAGAATTCCCACTTTGGCCTCCACATTCATTTCCCTGGAATTTGTATCAGTTCCTTTGGTTCGTGGCACTTATTCCTGGTCTTTTTTGGCACTTATTCCTGCTCTTCTTGGCACTTACATAACTGGTAAATACTTGAGAGGAGGGGAAAAAACCGAGTAACATTTTGGTCGTGTTTACATATGTGTGGAGGGTGGGAGGGGAAAGATGACGCCACAGGGATTGATAAACACTTAAACGTTACGGAGGGGGAAGGGAGAGGGAGGGAAGGGGGAAGGGAGAGGGAGGGAAGGGGGAAGAGAGAGGGGGAAAGAGGGAAAGAGAGAGAGAGGGAGGGGGTCACAGCCTTTAAATGCTGTCACTTTGTTAGGTAATAGACAGTTATTTTTTTGCACGATGGGAATAGCATTTCTAACTAAGCCAATTTCTTTAGTTTTCCCTCCACCGTTCTCTGTGATGAGGAGGGAGGCTTATAAATATGACTCTTCTCTCACACTTTAAAATTTGCATCCAAAAGAACACTTAAACGCCGACCAATCACCCCATAAACCATTAATTAACAAGTACAGGGATCATCATTGAGAAAAATGTCATTAAAATCTTCCAAACGTCATTACGACCACTAATTACCGCAAGGCTTATCATAGAGCACGCTTCGGGGTAGACTCAACCGTTATCAATGCAAACACACTTTAACATAATAAATAATACGTGTGTCTTAATACCGTATCCTGTACTAACACTGGGCATTGAACAGACCGACTGCTGCAACACGAATGAAAGGTGAAATGAGAAATAGATAAATAAATAAATAAATAAATAAATAAATAAATAAATAAATAAATAATATATAATTAATAATAATAATAATAATAATAATAATAATAATAATAATAATAATAATAATAATAATAATATAAAAGAGGCTCAATTACTACAGTACGTGAGTTTAAATACAATTAGGTTAAGTTAGGGCAGATTAATGTGGTTAATCTTCAGGTGTATCGTACTGGGGATACACATTTTCCAGGTGATTTATTTTTTTCCGTCTTATTTAAAAATTTCCCAACGAGTTTTGGTACAGATTGACGTTAATTAATGTTGGTCTGGTCGTAAAAGGGGTGATTTAACGGCACTAATAAAAGCCGCGAAAATCGTAAACAAGAAACTCAAATCAACTTAACTACATCATTTACTGTAAGACTTTGCTAAAAATACCACACAACTTTGCCATTTTATACCTTGATACTATTTCTGCAAAGTCTGTATCTTTCATCAATATGTCATGGGTTCGAATCCCGCTTAGTCCGGACACATGTGAGAAGGGTGTGACTCTCGCTACCAAACACTGACTAGACCAATCTATGTGAAGCACCAGTCATATCGAACCTCGCCTAACCTAAACCTACTACTGCCACCATCAGCATCACGGAACCCACAGTGAGCTCTCTTTCTCTCACTCTCTCTCACTCTCTCACTCTCTCTCTCTCTCTCTCACTCTCTCTCTCACTCTCTCACTCTCTCACTCTCTCTCTTCTCTCACCAGATTCCTACTTCTTTTGGTGCTCGTGTTGAGGGACGGGTTTTATTACCTGCCATAGAGACAACGACAAAGGAAGGGGGAGGGAAGGTGGATGGGTAACAGTGGATGAGAGGGAAGGAAAAAAAGAAGTGATGGGATGGAGGATAAAGAAGGAAAGTGAAGGAAAACATAAAAGGAGGAAGTGGAGGAGGAGTAGGAATAGGGGAGGGTGGAAGAGGAAAGAGAAATTGGAAGAGTTGGTACTACTACTACCACTACCACTACTACTACTACTACTACTACTACTACGAAAAAAACGAAAAAAGAAGTAAAGAAAAAAAAGAAGAAGAAGAAGAAGAAGAAGGATGAGGATGAGGAAAAAGAAGAGAGGAAGAAAAAAAGGTAAAGTATATTTCCTTCAATTGGCAACATATATTATTTCTCAGCTCGTCACACAGGGGTAGAGGACAGGCCTGAAAGAGAGGGACATCAGGTGGTCAGATGTTGTGTATGGCGCGTCCTGAGAGTACTGTACTGAATGGTGGCCTTTCTGTTTGTGTA